AGCATGCATGGACGGACCATTAATTGCTAATTTTCCCCTATATTGTTTAATCTGGGCATTAAGTGTCCATATGAAGCAATAATTTGCAATAATTCTTTCCTAATAAAGAGCTAACATGGTTGACCCAATACTGCTAATACTAATTACACATGCACACATCTTAATGTAATCCAACGGTTTGTAGGCAAGGTGCTTGGGCACCTAGGTGTCCCAAACTGGCGTTTTGAATGAAAGGCGTTTTGAATGCCGTTTTGTCTTCATCATTTTCACACACACGAATTTGATCGTATCCTGCACAGAGGTCCACAATGGACAAAGGGAACTTGTTTTTGAAAGTCACTGAATTCAGCTTGCAACAATCAACACAAAATCGCCAACCACCCTCTTTTTTCTTTACCAGCAAGACAAGGGAAGCATAGGGACTCAAACATGGTTGCAAGACGCCTGCAGCAATCATTTTAGCTACCCGACGCTCGATCTCGTCTTTTTGTTGCCGAGAATATTTGAAGGATGAGAGTTCGGGGCGTATGACCAGGTTCCAGATTCAAAGCATGGTCATAAGCACGATGAGGAGGTAATTCTGAAGGTTGTGCAAAAACATCTGTTTTGTAAAACATTGAGGTCTAGCGGTAGGACGGTACTGATGTTGCCCTGATCATGCACCTGATCCACAATTGCCATTGGCCATACATCATTTACAGTTAAAAGCGTGCTCTTGGTTTGGACGGACGGAAGCCGTGGCTTCGACGGCGCCGTTGCAACCAGCTCTAAATCTAGCCAACCGAGTCATCGGAACGAATTTCACACCCGTCGCAATGGAATTTTACGGCCGGGTCGAGAGAATTTGGGCGCATGCGGACGCAAGTCTAGGCTGTGGTTACCAAATTGCGAGTGCCCTGGGTAGACTGCAGTGGGAGAGGATTGGGGAATTGGAGGAACAACAGAGAATAAGAGGAACGAACATAGAAGGTGAGAGCGGTTCCGGCGAGCACATTCCAAACCACTTTCCCCTTGGCTTCTTCCTTCGATCCCCCAACCCCCGAGTCCAGATGAGTGAGAGCGGTTCCGGCGAGGACATGACCCGCCGCCGCCGCCGCCGCCTGCCGGGCGACGGCGATCTCCTCTGGGAGATCCTCCTCCGCCTCCCGCCGCAGCCGTCCTCGCTCCGCCGTCTGCAGGCAATGGCGGCGCCTCGCCACCGACCCCAAATTCCTCCGCCGCTTCCGCGAGCACCACCGCAAGCCGCCGCTCCTCGGCGTCTTCGAGTGCCGCGACGAAGCCGTGGTCTTCACCTCCGTCCTCGACCCTCCCGACCGCATCCGTCCCGAGCGCTTCGACCTGGGACGCTACAGCGGCCGCCGCGACTACACCTTGGCCTGCTGCCGCCACGGCCGCATCCTCGTCTTAGACCATGTGGACGGATGCCTCGTCGTGTGCGCCCCCATCACCGGCGAGCAGCGCCGCGTGGCCGTTCCGCCCGAGTTCATGACGGGCCCCCTCAACGGGGAGGTGCTCTGCGCTACCGGCGACATTGGCCACGTGCACGGAGAGTGCCACTCCGGCCCCTTCAAGGTGGTCCTGGTGTCCATGATCGGAGAGGATTTTCGACCCATCGCTTGTGTCTACTCCTCTGAGACCGGCTTATGGGGCAGTCTCGTATCAAGTCCATGTTCACCTCCTTTCGGGTATGGTAGAACTGGCAGACTTGTTGGCAACACACTTTACTGGTTGCTTTGGTCTGTTATGCGGGATAGCATACTTGAGTTTGATTTGGAAAATTTGAGTCTGGTTTTGATGGATCAGCCACCCATTGACGATGATTTTCGCCTTGCCGGCTGTCAGATCATCAAGGCTGAGGATGACGCTCTTGGCTTTGCCTATTTGTCTTACCCAAGCTTCCAAATGTGGCAGAGGAATTTCAATGCTCATGGTGTTGCCATATGGGTGCTGTGGAAGACCATCGAATTGCATAGCATTCTTGGGCTTCCTCCTCATATTCAGAGACCCACAGCTGAGGTGGTAACTGTTACGGACTTGATCTTTCAAAAAACTGTTACGGACTTGGACCATGCTGGGAAGATGGGAGTTATACTGAGCTATGCTGAGGATACTGATGTAGTTTTTTATATTTGTGGATGCAAATGTCTACATGGTTCAACTTAATCCAATGCAATCCAAGAAACTTCATGAAACAAAGTGCATCCTTGACAACTATCCTTTCACAGGTTTCTATACACCGGGTAATTGCTCATCTTAGTCCTAATATTTTAGGAACAACCCAATCCAGCTATATTTCTTACAATGTTGCCATATGGGTGCTGTGGAAGACCATTGAATTGCATAGCATTCTTGGGCTTCCTCCTCAGATTCAGTGACCCGCAAGTGAGGTGGTAACTGTTACGGACTCGGACCATGCTGGGAAGATGGGAGTTATACTGAGCTATGCTGAGGATACTGATGTAGTTTTTATATTTGTGGATGCAAATGTCTACAATTCAAGTGTATCCTTGACAACTATCCTTTCACAAGTTTCTATGCGCCAGGTAATTGCTCATCCTTAGTCCTAATATTGTAGGAGCAACCCAATCCAGCTATGTTTCCTACAATGTTGCTCAAACATCTTAACTGTGCCTCTTAAGTCACTAACAAGTTAAGCTTAATCAACAATCGTCCCTTTGATAGATGGACAAAATTTACTCATGGCTTTATTTTTACTTTTATATGTCATCACTAGTTGTATTTATTCTTGGAAGATCCATATCAAATGTCAAATGAGTAAAAAATGCAAAATCAAATGCCACTTAGTTGGCATGTGTGCAATCTCAAACTAGTTGTATTCTTTTATCCGGTACTTCTTTTCTGTTTAACTGTTTTAATTTTGGATTTTTTAGTCAATGATAACAACTTTTGTTTACCTTCTTAAATAGGCACAGCCATTGCTGATGGATCTAATGGAGCTGAAAACGCTGCACAACACATTGGATGATTGCTAATGTGCTGAAATGGTTCAGCATGTAAGAACATCTTCTGAATATAGCTTAAGAGATATGGAGAATTATGTCTTTTTCTCTATGGAAATATGTGGCTGCCAACATGGGTAAAATGCACTCTCAAAATATCGTCAATTTGGCTGTAGAGATTCACGCATGTAAATAACATACACAACAATTAAAATGACGGTAATGCCGAGATAAAATGACTCTTTTTGTTGCAAATGATATCCAAACGTTGAATATCATGTGGATGTTAAAATGATGTGTACCTATATGGGCATTCATAGTGTTCTCCTTGGTTTAGCTTTTGCAAAATCATTGAATTAGTAGTGCATTTTGTTGTTATAAACATCAGCCATAATGGCCCTACAAGTTGAAAACGAGAAGATTGACGATTTTGCTTTGTCCAGCTATACATTAGTAGTCAATTTTGTTGTTATAAACATGAATAAGTTGGAGGCTACGTATTGGTATCCAATCAGGTTATTGATGGATTGATGATTTTGCTTTCTCTAGGCGAAGGAACAGCTGCTGCAGTTCTAGCTGGGTCTGTCGCATCGTCTATGTGTTTGGCAGAATTTATAAGTTATCTACCCGAACTTCCTGAACGTGTGCTAAGTTTCTAATGTAACAAGATGCTTTTAAATAGCCTACTATTTTGCTGTATCTCCCGAGTAATATTTTCAGTCGTATTTCATTGTATCTTGTTTATTTTATATGGTTGTGCTTGGCAGCCCTTCTCATCAGCCAGGATTGAGTTTTGGAGTGCATTTTTTACTCAGTTAACCATAATCAAACATACTGAACAAAATCCAATCGATGGTATATGTCCTCCAAGAAAAATCAAGCACCTTTTCAGTTATATCGAGATATACTCACCGTGTAGTATATGTCCTGTATCATGGTAGTAGTAGTGATTGGTTCGACATGATTCACATTGTGGGTTTTAAATTGAGCCATAATGTCTCTATACAAACATTCACACAACTGGGGAACACAAAAAGCTCCATATGCACCGGATGCCTCTATACATACATTCACACAACTGAGGAACATAAAAATCCATATGAACCGGAAGCAAAGATATGGATGTCGTACAGGAGGAAACTTAGGTGCTTGCAAACCTCATGGGAAAACAAGTGCTTATCTTTAGTACTCCCTCCATAAAGATAACTAAAGGAGTGATCTAAATGCTTTTTGTCATACTTTGTTCGACAACTGCTTCTTACAAAGTATATTGGTGACATTTAAGGTAGCAAAAGATGCCATTGGTGTCGAGCGTGCAGGCCAGGGCTTTGTAGCTGAGCCACACAGCGGTTCCACCCGTAACTTAAAAAATTCATAAGTAAATTAAAAAATGAAGTAAATATGCTAAAGAGCATGCAAAAAATCATGGTGAAACAACATTCAAGGAGCTCTACACAAAAAGAAAAACGAGTCTTCAAGCCACACAACATCTTTATTCTTGGTTTTAACTCGGATGCAATGTATAGCATAAGTCCTATAGCCAACAGAGCAGAGATGGTTTACACGCCCCAAGCCTTAGCGATTAGCAATAATTAGTCATGGTATCAGATGCATAGATCTTAACATTTGCTTCTAGAGACTAGTTCTGGCCATTAGATAAGGTCCACAAAAAGCTTGATAATACAATACAAAAACTACTACTAAAGAAACAGATATATATTGTGATCCGCAGAAGACAAGGCACACTGCATATATTTTACAAGGAACCCTGCTGCAAATAGCTTGCACCAGGAAACGGAAAAAGAAGAAAGCCTCGTGATTATTTCCAGCTGCCTTCAAAGTTGGCGGCTCCAGGCAATATAAGCGTATGTTGTCCACGCTAGAAATTCAACCTTGTACTACCCAACAAGAATCAGACCATGTTAATTTACCTCTTCTGACAGAGGGCTTTCCATATATAAGAACCATCAAGCTGAACCGGTTAACCCGGTTGCCTTCCGCTCCAACCAAAAATTTGCTGGGCTATGGGGGGTTGATCAATCAAGAGCTTTTGCCTCCAAAGCTGCCGAATCCACCCCAGCTAGAGCCAGAGCTACCAGAGTTGCTACCAAACCCGCCAGACCGCCCTGAACCAGAACTCCCAAACCCACCACTTGAGCCGAATCCACCTCCACCACCACCTGATCGGCCAAACCCTGAATCACCGAATCCACCACCACCACCTGATCGGCCAAACCCTGAATCGCCAAATCCACCACCTCCGCCGCCGCCTGACCGACCAAACCCACCACCTGAACGACCAAAACCGGAATCACCAAACCCGCCACCTCTGCTGGAAGAGTTGCCAAAACCACCACCGCGGCCACCAAAACCACCACCACGTGAGCGCCCACCTCCACCTCCACCTCCGAACGAATCATAACCACTAGCCATTGTCAAGTCAGAACCTTCAACATTGATCTTTGGAAGCTGCAAAAAAGAGAACACATTGAGCATAAATGCCATAAGAAAAAACTCAAGCAGCGACTTTAAATGACACAAAATCTCACCTCCGTAAACTTGCCTCCAACGTCATTCTCGATGCCCCTGACAGCTCTACTTTGGTTGTAGCTGTACATCACAATTGCAGTGCCTTTCTTCCCAGCACGGCCAGTACGGCCAGACCTGTGAACAAATATCTCTGAATTGTTTGGCAATTCATAGTGTATCACCTGAAACAAGGAAACACAGCCAGTCAAGGGGTTTGACAGCAGATGTTGCAATGAGATAATGTTGCCAGCTTTAAACAGATTAATAATGCAGTTCTAAATGACAAAAGGAAAGGCAATGACAGAAAAACACTAACCAGATCCACATTTGGAATATCCAAACCACGAGCAGCAACATCAGTGGCAATCAAAGTATTAAAGCGCCCTTCACGAAATCCTTGAAGTGTCCTCTCTCTCTGTTGTTGTGTAATATCTCCATGAAGAGCCTGACACTGGACACTTCGACTCATAGTGTATGACAACCGATCAGCATCCCTTTTTGTTTGCGTAAATACAATGCACTTGCCACCTTTAGCATGGTCCTGCAATGAACTCACACACACATTACGTCATAGAGTGCAGAAAGAAACTTAGATAGCACTTAAGAAAAAAATATTCCATTGATACTACAGAGAAAACATCCTTGCCTGAATCAATTGCCCAAGGACAGCAGGTTTTGCATGATTCTCTGTAGCAATAGACAACAGAGAAATCCCTTCTGCCAGCTTCTGGTCATCTTCACCCACCTAGAAAAGAAATAGTATCATAAACCAAATCCAGCTAGTAGCTATGTATTTTCTTAATTAAACAATGTGCTTATGATGTCATGCAGGTGCAACAAAGAGCAAACTTAACCCATAAATGTTACTTAGTTCATAACTTTGAAGTTTATTAACTTCAAAAATGATTTAACGCTATACAAATCTTCAGGGAAAGACTAAAGAGTTGCAGGCACATCCACACATATTATCAAAACCTGAAATTGACTATGCAAGTTTTCAAAAGAAAAAGGTGTCTTTGGCATTTACACCACCAGAATAATTTTCTTAATCCTCTTGATACTAACACTAATGCTTATCTTACTAGAAAAGACGCAACAAAAGTCCAAGCCTAACATAACAAAATTGAAGTTACTTCTCATGATAAGTTCCAATGCAAGTAGAGACAGCAAATGCATGACAAATAAGGTCAGATATGGATACACAAATTTTGCAATGAAATCAAAGTTGCAGTGTTCAGTAAAACATGGGTAAGCATCACTCACAAGATCAACTATGACAGGATCTTTGAGGTACTTCTGCATCAGCTTGCGTATCCAGGGTGGCATTGTTGCGGAGAACATCAAGGTTTGACGTTTGGCAGGCACATTTTGCAAAATTTCCTCAACAGCTTCATCAAAACCCACTGACAGCATCTGGTCTGCTTCATCGAGAACAACAAACTGGACATTTGACAAATTCAGAGCACGTCTATTTAGCAGATCAATTACCCGTCCAGGTGTCCCAACAACTACATCAACACCCTGGCTAAGTCCTTTCATTTGTTGCTGAATTGGAGTGCCTCCATATACACAGAGTGTATCCAGCCGGGAAGAATCAACAAATTCTTTCTCAACTTGTTTTGCAAGTTCCCGTGTTGGTGCCAAACATATCGCCAGGGGATATATTCCAGGTCTGTGAATCCAGAGATTCAATTGAGGTGACAATGCAACACAAGATGGCACTAAAAGGAGTAGAGGGAAAATGAATAATGATTGATGCGAAAAATGTCCAAACTTACTTGTTAGCTGCGTTATGGCGAATAATTGCATCCATTATGGGGATTCCAAATGCCAAAGTTTTCCCTGTCCCCGTTTTGGCACGGCCAACCATATCCTTGCCTTGCATTGCTGGCTCAAGGACAGCTCTCTACACATCACAGCAAAAGGAAGGGGATTTTAACATCCAAAACACAAGGCATCCACTAATGGTGTGATCATGTAAGCAGTAAACAATCTACCCTACTGCCAGGAGAATATTGAAAGATGACAAACATAAAGGTACGCACAAACAGATAAAAAATTGGACCTATACAGGGATGGTTTGATTGACTCAATCTAGAAGCAGAAGTAAAAAAAACAGCTGAGCATGCATAACTATTATCACAAGAGAAAGGGACACGCAAGCACATAATAATACAGAGTGATAATCGCAGCTGCTGAACAATATGATGCAACCTTAAATTTTTTGTCTCTCGTTAGAAATTACAAATTAATTAATTAAGGTTCCATAGACTAACTTATATAGTGTATAAATTTCACTGGCAATAAAACATCTGTCCATTCAGAACGAACCAAAAGATCACAGTTGCCTCGCATAGGGCAGTGAGGTAGTGGAAAACCACACAAAACTATCATAGTGGGGAAGAACTGCTCCGCAGTTCCGCGCATCGGAGCAAGCCTCCTTCTGAGCTATGTTCAGAATTAATTAACTGCGGAGAAGTTACAACATTCCAAAAGGAGGAAATGTTCTCGTTCCTACAGAACACAATTAACTGGGCAGCAATCAATCAAGCAGTAGCCCCAGAGAGCAAACAAACCACGGACGATCAAAGGAGGTAGTAATCACGTTCCAATCGAAGAGAGGGGGAAAAGGCTGCGTGCCTGCCTGCTCCCCTTACCTGGATGGGGAACAGCTTGGTGATGCCCTTGGCGGAGAGCTTGTCGACGATCTCGGACGAGATCCCGAGCTTTGCGATCTCAAGCCCCTCCTCCTTGGCGCCGGCGCCGGCCCCAGCCACGCCCCCCGCGGGCTTCCTCTTATCGTCGTAGTTCCACCCCTCGTCCGCCGCGAACTGAGCGTGCGCCCCGGCCCGCGCGGCCCCCGTCTCCCGGAACCCGAGCGGGGCCGGCCTGGAGTGGAACCACATCGCCGGCGGCGGGAGCGGCGACCTTGGGGGCAGGACCGACGCCGACGCCCCGGCGGCGGAGGGGCCCGCCGGGTGCTGCAGCAGCGCGGCCAGGATGGCCGACGCGGCGCGCCTCCGGAGGGGATCCGCGCGGCGGATCATGGCGTACATCCTGGCTGGCCCTGGCTGCGGCGGCGGCTAGGGTTTATGGCGGCGGCGGGGTTTAGGGTTCTGGGGAGGAGGAGGGGGGGACGAGGAGTGGAGAGGGGGAGAGAGGGAATGGGGTTGGGTTAATAGCCAGGCACCACGAGAGATATTTCTGCGGCTCCGGCGCGCGCGTACGGGGCGGAAATATCCCCTGCTCCCACGGACACCGACGGGTGGGGTCAGGAAGTCACCACCCAGGCGGGCCCCATCTGTACGTGAAACGGTGGAGGTTGCCTGGGGTTGTTGCGGGTGCCTCTAGCAGTAGCTGGGGTGAGTGAAGAGGTTACGCGGGAGTGCGGAGGGGAGGTGAGACGTAGGGAATGACTTGTGGAGCCACGAGCTTGGCGTGCCCGGGTGTCAGTGGGTTAAGGGTAGGAGGAGGTTTATGACGACGCATTGCTTGGAGGAAAAGCTATGGCGGTTTAGGAGGCCCTGGGCTTATTGCTCGGCTGGGTTGTTTCGCATGGGCTGTTGAATGTCGTGCGAATTCTTTTGAATGGGCCGGTTGTCAGGTGCTCAAAATTATTTTAGTTTGTAGTTCAATTATTTTTTTCAGGAGTAAACATGCTCAAATTTATATAGCGTTTGTACTCCCTCCGGTCCTTTTTACTTTGCATATAAGAATTGTCTGCAGTCAAACTCCACAAAGTTTGACCATATTTATAAGAAAAATATCAGCATCTACCATGCTAAAGTTATATAATATGAAATTTTAATTCGTGACGCATCTACTGGTATTGATTTCACATTATGAATATTGATATTTTTTTCTATAAAGTTGGTCAAAGTTTACGAGGCTTGACTTCGGACAAATCTTATATGCGAACTAAAAAGGACCGGAGGAAGTAAGTGTTGTGATCAAGAATTAGCTCTTAGCTTCAACAGTCACGACCATAAAAATGAAGAGATAGTTCCTGAGCTTCACAATATCGTGAGGCCGCAAGCGCCCTTCTTGGTCTTTCTTATGGAACAAAGATGGAAGGGAGGAAAGCTAAGGCCAACTACAATGCACTGACCCATTTTGTCTTGCTGTGTCTGTTTGGGTCTGGATGGACAAAAAGCACGGATGAACGCAGCAACCCATTTCATTTGTATGTCTATTTGTGCTCGTTTTGACCCATTTTCACTCCAAATTTAAAAAGAAAGTTGACAAACTTAAAGAGTGTTCATGGTTTTTGAAAAGAAAGTTCACAAACTTAAAAGGTTCATGAATTTAAAAAAAAAGTTCATCGATATTGAAAAAATTCATCAAATTTTTTGAAGAAGCTCATTGCATTGGAAAACTTCCAGGCAGGAAAATATTGCTTTTGCGAAAAACACAAAAAAATAAAAAAAACATTGATTTTGAAAGAAAGTTCATCGATTGTGAAAAAAAATCATTGATTTGAAAAATGTTCACAAAAGCAGGTAAATATTATCATTTTCTTAAAGTTCATCGAATTTTAAAAATAAGTTCATGCAATTTAAAAAAAAATCCCAGTTCGAAACGCAAAAATAAACGAACAGAAAAACAAATGGGCCGGACTGCGAACTGGACCTAGTGTATAGGGGGTGTGTGCCCTGTACGGATTACCCTATAAACGACGCTCCCCCTGCCTCCCTCAAAATACCTTTTAAATGTCGCTTAAGGCACCGATTAGGAAACGCCTGTGACAAAACCAAGGACACCTATGCAAAAGCCAACCACCGAAATCATTAGTTGAGGAGTGTTGGGGAACGCAGTAATTTCAAAAAAAAATCCTACGCACACGCAAGATTCATCTAGGTGATGCATAGCAACGAGAGGAGAGAGTGTTGTCCACGTACCCTCGTAGACCGTAAGCGGAAGCGTTATGACAATGCGGTTGATATAGTCGTACATCTTCACGATCCGACCGATCCTAGCACCGAAGATACGACACCTTCGCGATCTGCACACGTTCAGCTTGGTGGCATCCCACTAACTCTAGATACAGTTGAGGTCGAAGGAGAGTTTCGTCAGCACGACGGCGTGATGACGGTGATGATGAAGTTACCGGCGCAGGGCTTCGCCTAAACTCTACAACGATATGACCGAGGTATAAATCTGTAGAGGGGGGCACCATACACGGCTAAACAATTAACTTGTGTGTTCTAGGGTGCCCCCCTCCCCACATATATAAAGAAGGGAGGGGGAGGCCGGCCGACCCTCCTTGGCGCGCCCCCAAGTGGGGAATCCTACTAGGACTCCAAGTCCTAGTAGGTTTCCACCAAAAGGGAGAGAGGGGGAAGGAAGGAGAGGAAGCTGGGAAAGGAAAGGGGGCGCCGCCCCCCTTCCTAGTCCAATTTAGACTAAGGGGAGGGGGGCGCGGCCTGCCTTTGTTGGGGAACGTAGCAATAATTCAAAATTTTCCTACGTGTCAAGATCAATCTAGGAGATGCTAGCAACGAGAGAGAGGGAGTGCATCTTCATACCCTTGAAGATCGCTAAGCGGAAGCGTTACAAGAACGCGGTTGATGGAGTCGTACTCGCGGCGATTCAAATCGCGGAAGATCCATTCTAGTGCCGAACGAACGGCGCCTCCGCGTTCAACACACGTACTATTGGGGAACGTAGCAGAAATTCAAAATTTTCTACGCATCACCAAGATCAATCTATGGAGAAGTCTAGCAATGAGGGAAGGAGAGTGCATCTACATACCCTTGTAGATTGCTAAGCGGAAGCATTCAAGTGAACGGGGTTGATGGAGTTGTACTCGTCGTGATCCAAATCACCGATGATCCTAGTGACGAACGGATGGCACCTCCGTGTTCAACACACGTACAGCCCGGTGATGTCTCCTACGCCTTGATCCAGCAAGGGGAGAAGGAGAGGTTGGGGAAGACTCCATCCAGCAGCAGCACGACGGCGTGGTGGTGGTGGAGGAGCGTGGTACTCCAGTAGGGCTTCACCAAGCACCGGAAGAGACGAGGAGGGAGAGGGGTAGGGCTGCGCCAAGAAGGAGATGTTCTCGTGTGTATGGCAGCCCAAAACCCCCACTATATATAGGGGAAAGGGAGGGGCTGCGCCCCCACCTAGGTTTCCACCCCTAGGGGTGGCGGCCAGCCCTAGATCTCATCTAGGGGGCGGCCAAGGGGGGAGAGAGGGGGGCGCACCACTAGGTGGGCCTTAGGCCCATCTGAGCCTAGGGTTTCCCCCTTTTCCCTTCTCTCTTCGCCTTGGGCCCTGGTGGGGGGGGCGCACCAGCCCACCTGGGGCTGGTCCCCTCTCACACTTGGCCCACGCAACCCTCTGGGGCAGGTAGCCCCACCTGGTGGACCCCCGGGACCCTCCCAGTGGTCCCGGTACGTTACCGATAGCACCCGAAATTTTTTCGGTGACCAAAACAGGACTTCCCATATATAAATCTTTACCTCCGAACCATTCCGGAACTCCTCGTGATGTCCGGGATCTCATCCGGGACTCCGAACAACATTCGGTAACCACGTATATCTATTCCCTATAACCCTAGCGTCATTGAACCTTAAGTGTGTAGACCCTACGGGTTCGGGAGTCATGCAGACATGGCCGAGACAACTCTCCGGTCAATAACCGACAGCGGGATCTGGATACCCATGTTGGCTCCCACATGTTCCATGATGATCTCATCGGATGAACCATGATGTCAAGGATTTAATCAATCCCGTATACAATTCCCTTTGTCCATCGGTACGATACTTGCCCGAGATTCGATCGTCGGTATCCCGATACCTTGTTCAATCTCGTTACCGGCAAGTCTCTTTACTCGTTCCATAACACATCATCCCGTGATCAACTCCTTGATCACATTGTGCACATTATGATGATGTCCTACCGAGTGGGCCCAGAGATACCTCTCCATTTACACGGAGTGACAAATCCCAGTCTCGTTTCGTGCCAACCCAACAGACACTTTCGGAGATACCTGTAGTGTACCTTTATAGCCACCCAGTTACGTTGTGACGTTTGGCACAGCCAAAGCACTCCTATGGTATCCGGGAGTTGCAAAATCTCATGGTCTAAGGAAATGATACTTGACATTAGAAAAGCTTTAGCAAACGAACTAAACGATCTTTGTGCTAGGCTTAGGATTGGGTCTCGTCCATCACATCATTCTCCTAATGATGTGATCCCGTTATTAACGGCATCCAATGTTCATGGTCAGGAAACCGTAACCATCTATTGATCAACGAGCTAGTCAACTAGAGGCTTACTAGGGACATGGTGTTGTCTATGTATCCACACATGTATCTGAGTTTCCTATCAATACAATTCTAGCATGGATAATAAACGATTATCATGAACAAGGAAATATAACAATAACCAATTTATTATTGCCTCTAGGGCATATTTCCAACAGTCTCCCACTTGCACTAGAGTCAATAATCTAGTTCACATCGCCATGTGATTAACACTCACAGGTCACATCACCATGTGACCAACATCTAAGAGTCTACTAGACTCAATGATCTAGTTCACATCACTATGTGATAAACACTCAAAGAGTCTGGGTTTGATCATGTTATGCTTGTGAGAGAGGTTGTAGTCAACGGGTCTTGCCATATTCAGATTCCTATGTATTTCGCAAAACTTTATGTCATATCGTAGATGCTGCTACCACGTTCCACTTGGAGCTATTCCAAATTGTTGCTCCATTATACGTATCCGGTATCTCTACTCAGAGCTATCCGGATAGGTGTTAAGCTTGCATCGACGTAACTCTTTACGTCGAACTCTTTATCACCTCCATAACCGAGAAACATTTCCTTATTCCTCTAAGGATAATTTTGACCGCTATCTGGTGATCTACTCCTAGATCACCTTTGTACCCTCTTGCCAGACATGTGGCAAGGCACACATCAGGTGCGGTACTTCAGCATGGCATACCGTATAGAGCCTATGACAAAAGCATAGGGGACGACCTTCGTCCTTTCTCTTTCTTCTGTCGTGGTCAAGCTTTGAGTCTTAGTCAACTTCACACCTTACA